CTGATTTTACCAATAGGCAGCGTAACAAAAACAGTGTGAAGAAGAATCTATTTATTAGTCGTACTGCTTACAGTTGCACATGTCGGCACTATAGATTCGTAAAAATGCCCTATATAAACATAAATGCTCAATGGTAAAAGAAATTTAAGAAACTTATAGAAAAAACGAACACAGATTAAATAGGAAATATCACAATGTCAAAAGACCAACGTGTTCTGGCCGGGTTGGAGAACTCGCGTGGGCGTCGTCGGTATGTTGGAGGGCCGTCGCCTGGTCATGAAGTTTCTCAGCCGAAAGCCCGGAATTACTGCCGGTAGCGTCTCCTGCAAGAAGACAAAAACTCTCAAAGATCGGAACAGTGAGTGTACTGGAGTAGTCCAGTACGCACCTTCCTAATCCAGGGCAGCGAAAGGGCGGCGTCCATATCCAAACGCTGGCCGGGCACCAGGACGAGCAGTTTCCCGATGAACTCCTTGGCGGCACCGGAAATATCTGCAAAATACTCATCAGGGAAGCAGAAGTCGCACTTCAGGATGTTGGCAGTGGTTTCCTCCATGGAGTCATCCAAGAAGGGCGATACGCCGCTAAGGAGAACATAGAGAAAGACGCCTGAAAAAAAACAGGCCGCTTAGCTGTTGAGCAATAGAGCTACGCAATAGGGGGTACTTGCCTGCCGCCCAACAGTCAGTGTGCCGCCCCACCGGCTGCCCCAACACCAGTTCAGGAGACGCAAACTCCAAACAGGCGGGCGGCAGGATCACGTTCTTCGCAGTGTTGACCGAGTCGCCAAAGTCAACCAGTTTGACCAGGGGCGGCGACAACAAAACGTCCACCATCACGTTTTCCGGCTGAAACAAAACAAACCCCTAAATATTCAAGCGCATCCCCTGCCAGTCGGTGTCTCCCACCTTGACATCCAAGTGCACCAAGTCCTTGCGATGCAGCCAAGAAAGGGCCGAGATCAGCTGAGAGATGTAGAAGCGAACGTCGTGTTCAGAGTAGTTTTCGCGCTCGCTCAGAAACGTGAACAGAAGCGGGCCTTTGACTCTGAAACAACCAATTAAAGTCAAGTCTAACACAGAAGTCTTCCTGCACACTTTGAGCACACATACAGTTCCAAGACGATGGTGTCCGTTCCGGGCACTGGCGCATTATCAAAGAGCGCCAAGGACCGAATGATGTTCGGATGTTCCATGGTGGCCAAAAGCGCGTACTCCGCCTGGGTTATGTGGTGGGGCTGCTTCCTCCTGGTCACTTGCTTCAAGGCCACTTGGACGTTGGTGCCTTCAATGGGTTGCTATCAAAATGGATGGTTGACAGTGTTAACACGGCGCTTACCGCGGTCTTTGGCCAGTCGGACGATGGAAAAGCGGCCCCTGCTGATTTCTTCCAGCTCAATGTAGCGGCGCTTGAATTGTTCTTGTTGCCACAGAAGAGTGTCCGCCACTGGCAGGGTGACGGCCATGGTGGGTAGACTCACCGACATTGTCTCGCCAGAGACCAGGCGAAAGCTGCAACGAAAAGCTCAGTGCTTTCGCCTGGGAACTCGGCGAAGCTGATGCTCACCTGTAGGTATCGCCAGCTACTAGATTATCCAGAGTGAATGAGGTGCCGCAGATGGGCAGCTTGGAGGTCGGCGACGTCCACTCGCCAGAGCCCAGCTTGCAATATTCGATGAAAAACTGGGCGCCTTGTGGATTGTCCCACTCCAACAACACACTGTTGGCTGTTAAAACCTGGATCTTCGGCTCAGCTGAAATTGCTCATTAGTTCTGGACTGTGTGCTAGTGGCAGCCCACTCACCAAGTGGTGGAACATTACTCAGCACTGTGAGAACGCAAGTGCAACTTGCCGACCCAAACTCGTTGGTAACGGTAAAAGAGTACGTTCCAGAGTCGCTAGGCTTAGCGTTCTCCAGACTCAGCACGGCCACGCCCTCGTCGTCGCTGTCCAACATAAAGCGCCCGTTGCGCAGAATGCATAAGTTGGGCTCCAGCTTCTTCCAGCTCTGGCGGCAGTTGGGGCCGCAGTGGCGCACGCGGCATTTTAGCACCACCTTGGCGCCGCATTCCACCGACACGTCCTTCATTCTATCCCGGAATTCCGGTAGCGGACCCTCCTGGACCGTCCCGTTCGCCTTTTGCAGCCTGCAATTGACTCGGAGTTGAAGCCAAAATGAACTTGAACACCAAAAAAGGCCTTATTTTTACCCGAAACTCCAAGGCTTCCGGCCTGAGGATGCGATGGCGTTGGAGGGCAGCCAGATTTTCTGCCGCACCGCGTTTACCAGTACTAAGTAGCGCTCATGCCGATACTTGATGATGGTCACCACTTCACCTACGTTGACTCCGGCTTGCTCGCGCAGCACTACGGCCTGGCTTCCGGGCGCTAGTATGTGATTTTCGCCCTGCAAAAACACCGATTTTCACACTCTCATTAAACCCCTTAACGAGTATCACACATCGGTTAGTTCAGCCACCCTCCAAGCGTCTAGCAAACTCTTAAACACTGCACATGTAACCAACCACAGCCCTAAGAAGTCGTCATGCTCACCGTCTAGTCTGCACCTTTTCCGCACCCAACCAGAGAAGAACCACCAAACAGGCAAATTATTGGGAACTTAAACAGTCTTTATTGCAAAATACGTTGGCTTCTTAACCGGTAACATTCATTAAACCTATCGGATTGTCCGCAAAACATTAATATTAATCTATCACAGCCGTTTAGGGTTAGTGTTTACTGGTTTGGGGGAGTAGTTGGAGGGCAAAATGAGATATTACGATACCTAGAGGAAAGAGAAAGACATTGTTAGAACAGTTGCATGCGGCCCGTTTACAATCTTTTCGTTTCGTTATAAAAGTGTTTGAACAAAACACCCTTACCGAATGCTGCGACTCGCTCCACCTCTTCTGCAAGTCGCCTTTTTCGCCCTCTTTGCCTGCCGCTAAAACCACCGTGTCGCTTTTGTGCTTGTTCCTCAAGGTGCTTCGCCAGCCCTCGAAGAAGTTCTTCTTGCCGGGCTTCTGGTTGTTGTTCTTGTGGTCCAGTCCTTCACTGAAAAAAGCACGCACTTCAACGATGAACAATCTTGACTTTTTGCGCCACCACTCACGTGGAGTGCAGTTCGCTTTCCGATGGTATTCCGATGGTGTTCGCCTTGTGGATGTAGGCGGGCGGCCTTCTGGGTGGCTGCAAACTGGCCGCGTCCGCTTGAGTGGTTCCAGTGAACTCCCATGGACCTTCCGATCTAGACAGACGAGATTAAACCAGATTTTCTCAATAATCACTTGCCTGCAGGAGCGTGCGAAACAAAACAGTGCAGTTAAACAAAAAACAAGCAAGGATCGAGGGGTTAAATCAAACACAGCTAATACGGAACCGATAATGTGAAAATAAAAATGAACAAGGTAGGTAGGTGCAACTAACAACAACATCAACAAGGACAAAAACAACAGCAACTATCAAGAGATAACCATTGGAAATGAAACACTGTTGTAGGTGATTTTACCTTTTATTCTATGGAAAATGTTCATGTCATTGCGTGGCAATGGAAAATAATGTCTATGTACAAACATACATCCGAACTATGTACAAGAATAACGCCTACATTTCAAAGTACGGCCGGTTTCCGCGAGTGTCCAGAGAAATTGAATGCTGTACTTTGACAGGGAAAGAAAGGACACCCGGTAGAAAACGGGCCATACGAGTGCACATTGATTCTTTACCTTCGTTTCCAAAAGCGCCAGCCCTTCTAACTTAGTCAGTTGCAAAACAAACCATAGCAATCCCTGAACCAAATACGTTTGCATTTTGGGACCCACTGTAGATAATTGTTTCATTGAGAAATGTAACCTTGCCGATACACTGTGAGCAACGTGTTTTATTGTTGAGCAATTAAAATATGCAAATGTATGGTACTACCCTTCTCTAGACGAGCTGTGCTTGCTGGGAAACAGCCCTAGCTTATTTATTACACAATGTGACAAAAAAGGCATCTATTCATCATGTTGGCGCTGGTTTTCAATAGATAATGAATACGGCGGATGGCGTGTTTAGCTGTTTATAGTAAAAGGACACAATCGTTCCTTTACCATAAACGACTGGCAACACCCGCACCTCGTCCTACTTGCACTGGAAAGGTACATTTTGAGCCGAAAAAGCCACGGTACATACTTAATACTTAAAACATAGTGTATAGTAACTTTATACACAATTATACGACATACACTTATAATTGTATTGGTTTTGTTTTGATTGGGTTCGGAATATAATCCATCCTTTGCTCTTCGGCTGAAGCACGAAAATGCGCATGAAAAGCCATCGACATGGAGACAGGGATCTTGCGCAAACTTGTTCATTTTTACTTTACACATCGTAAAATCGGGATACGCTCATTGCCCTTAACTATTAATACTATCACAGAACTCAATCGTACACAATAAACCCAACTTGAAACTATAAAGTGAAACGTATCCCATAGCCCCCGTATTAAAATATACCAACACTCAATTAGGGATTACAAGTAGAAGGGGCACCACAACCGGGTTAATTCAGCTAGCCGCCCAAGTCGAGATAGGCTAGCTTTCGTGATACTCACGATTCCTTAGTCTTTTCCTTCTGGTACGCGATCGGGCTTTGAATGGCTTTCAGAAAATCACGTTGCGATTGCAGGATATCCTTTACTGTGCGCACCCACTGGTTCCGCAGCTCTTCCGATGGTGCGCAGCACACGAACCCCGTAGAACAAATGGCGTTTTTCGGATCAGTTGACGTGACCACGAATGTGTTGTCTTCCCGCGAATCGTCCAGCGATAGACGATTCACCTGCCACCCAACCATGTTACGCTTTAGTACGTGCAAGATAGGTGATAGTGAGTGAAACACTCACCTGTATGTGGGCCTTGTAGATATACTGCGGACTGGTGAACTGCGTCTTTTTGCCCACAATTTCCGAGAAAATTATGCTCTGCTCAAACAGGAAGACCTGCAGTTCCTTGGTCTTGCCCATCACTGTTTGTCCAGGCACGTCGGACACACTCAAAGGCCCATGAAGCAGCAGTTTGCCCTGAGACGTTATCTTGCCCGACTGCAAAAGCCACAGAATTGTCAATCAGCCCTATTCCTGCAGGCAAGCTTGCTCACCTCAAAGCCCTGCAACCGTCCCACGTCCATCATGTCATTGGCGTTCTTCGGCACCACCACCATGATCTTGTAGGCCGCCCTCAGTGGCTCAATTTCGCTACGAATCCCTGCCCGTTCAGTATATTTAAGAATGTCCTTCAGCATCAGCTGGTACTTCATAATCCGCTGCACTGGCTTAATGAGAAGATCGCACAGCTGCAGCTTATGGCCCAGCTTCACTCGCAACTCCTCAAAGTACGACTCCAAATGCTCGGCTACAATGTACTCGGAAATGGGCTTGTTTTTACAGTAGATCACGTACATCTGCAGCTTGCGCTCGTAGCGGCGGAACAGTTGGGCCAGCTCTTCCGGGTTTTCTATCCCTGCTTTCAGGGACTTGAGGAAATGACTGTGGCGAAGTAGAAGCTACTTTTAGAGATGCTATTCAATTTAGGTCAGTCCAAAGACTTACTTTTTATGCCAGTCATAGATGGCCTCAATGTTTCCAAACACCATCTTGTCCTTTCCGTTACGCAAGTCTTCGGGCATGGGCACTTCGCAGTCGCTGTCCCGCATAGTAGCGATATATCCGTCCACGATTAGTGACAGATCGCGCACGTAGGCCTCTTCAGTGTCCACCAACTCTTGCAACACGTACTGGCGCTTCTTCAAAAAGGTCTCGATCTTCTCCGGATCCAATTCGCCCTGCAATATCCACAATAACCAGTTATGTGGATAAAACTATCGAGCGAAACTCACTTGTTTGTCGCTCTCGTCGCCGCTGAAAGCCAATGAGGCCGCCTCGTTTGATGAACAATGCGCCGACAGGTCTCGCTGACTATCCAGACTGAACTCTGACAAAGCTTCAGAGCTGCGTGTGTTTCTGAGCGTCGAGTGCTTGTTTTCTGAGTGCTGCTCCTGCATAAACAAACATACATCAGCCTGCCATTTTGGTAGCTAAACATGTGCGGTGTATTTGCACATCTTCGATTCACTCAAGAAACTGCCTGCCTGTCGATCTGTCTGCCAGGCAGCTTCCATGTCATCGATGATGTGCTTCACATAATTAGTGAGAAAATAAAGGGTGCAAAGACATTCGACTGGATTATTAGCATGCAACCTGATTTCAAAGGCACTACTTCCACTCTTTAATCTACAAAATCGAGGGCATTCACAACTAAGCGACTCGCACCATTCTCTCCTTGACGATTTGCTCGATCTCAGCCAAATCGGCGGAAATGGCCCCCTCTAAAGATTTAATAGTGAGGCTAGAGACCTAGATGGAAAGAAAGGCACTGTTAGAAGGCGACGGATTTGATGAGGTATTACGTGACGTGATATGCGAAGAAACATGTTTTCTAATCAAGGTTTAAGGTGGTACTGTGCTCACTCACCCTCTTGCAGGGGTTCTCTTCGATCTCTGGCACTCCCGGTACACCTGCAGGTGGCTGCGGCACCAGCATTGGCTCCTGAATCGGCTTCATCGGGGGCGGCAATTCCACTTCTTCGTCCGCCTCATCTCCATTGATAATTTCCGAGCCTACATTATCGAAAGTCACGCAAAACTCGCCAATAACTCGGGCACGAGCAAACATACCCAGCGATTTGGCCGCTTTAAGAGGCGCAGTTCGATCGTCGTCTTCTTCCCCTTCAGAAACTGAGGACTTACTATTACCCATATCCGTGGGGGGCACCTGAAAAAAAAACATTCTAAACACCCCCTATCTAGATATAAAAACTTTTACATCGACTCTCGTATGTTAAGCATGGGGCGCAAAGAGAGGGCGGTTACTATGGGGACAACTGTTTACCTCTCCCTCCCCACTACAGCCAGTAGGGCGATTAACACGCCCGGTATGCTACGGGGTGTGTGCGAAACTTTTCCCACTTTGACTGCCAAAAATGAGTCCTTTGCGTGCATCCGGCAACACTGAACTCAGCTAATCGGACGGAAAGTTTCGCAATACAAACAAAGATATTTTGGCAGATATACGGGCTACTCTTAATTTACAGCCAGTTTGAGCAAACAAGACACATTTACACATCAACTAGTGTTCAGATAAAAACGCACTAACATTGAATAATAGAGCTAAATTTTGTATAAAAAGTTAAAGTTAAAACCAGCACTCACTATTGAAAAATCTACTACTTACATGATGGGGAAAGCAAGACAATTTCCTCAAAAATTTAACGCGCATTTTCGAAGTTCAACGCAACAAAGACACAGAAGTTTTCCACTAAATCCGCTGATTGAAATCTAAGCGTTTCATCTCTATCTTTGCACCGTGATTCTCCTACAGCAACTGGAAACCTGAACACTGGATAAGTGAACAGTTGCACCCACAATTTGAGTAGTTCGCAATGTTTATTGACCTTTACATATCCTGCTAGATTATTGAAAACACATCAAGCTTAAGAGGATTGAGTGTTGAAAAGAGGCAACGTTTATTCGGGAGATGGAAAACTTCGTCCACTCCTGCCAACCGTTTGCAAAGTTTCGCAAATAACTTCATCCCAACGAAAAACCCCTTTAGACTTAAACTCCAGGCTCTTATAATGATGTGAATTGCCAGCGGTTGTAAACAGAGAGTGAGCCAAAGATGGGCAACTTTGACGGGATAAACCTAGCCGGAAAATTCAACAAATTAAGCTCCGCAATGACTCAGACTTGTACACAGATAAAGCGGAAAATTCAGGGAACGCCTTGAGTACGCTCACATTCCAACATCATTCCGAATGGGGAATTTTAGGACTGTGGGGAGTACCTGGAAACGGAGAACAGTGCGACTAATTTTGGCAACATATTAAGCGACCTTTCTTGAATGGACACTTTCCGAACGACCGCGGTATACTAGGAATGTGCGACAAGGACCGTCCGTTTCCACGGTGACCACAATATTGGTCTCTCTCTTGACTGCGAGACCAGTTCCCTTCGAATACGCCAGGTGAGTTACGAGGTGTGAAGATAAAGTAGTTTGTTTGGAAATGTCTCCTTGGAAGGAGAAATATGGCATTTTTGCACAAATCATGATTACATTTAACTGAGTCATTTCGGAAAAAATCGCTGACCAAATGTTTGGGAAAAAATCTGGTGGCAAATGTCTGGCATTTTTCAAAACTACAAAGTAAACACATCAGTCATATGGGATTTGAAAAATCGCACAGCCTTTAAACCGATAAAGCAGCGAAGGATTGATTGTTTGTATAGGCGAAACCGTGTAATAATAACAGTTTAGAATGTGTTGGTTGCCTTTAAATATTGCCCACGACTTAGTGCTCAAGTACTGGACCGGTTATTTATCGCCGCTTCTTCTGGATTAAAACCACTAAAACCGGATTTTTTTGCCGAAAAATGGCAAATAGTGAAATCTAATACAAACATAATAAATGAAAACAGACGCGCCACAATTTAAATAATCAAGTTGGCAAAATGTGTGGTGACGCGCTCGATTGTTTCAAGGTTGGCTCAGTCACGAGCGATCAAGAAAGAAAAACACTGAAAACTCATTAAAAGCGGTTGTACAAACTCGGACATGTACAGGGTGTGAATGCCAAATGAGTCCACTCACCCGAATCCGTTTGTCCGACCCAGTTTTCTTCAGCGGCGGCCTGGGATCGATGGGCGCCTGGGACTTGTCCACTTTTCCCTGGGACAGCTTACGTAGGGGTGGCGGCAACCATTTCCGTCTGGAAGCAAACAAAATGGGCCTAAGATTAATTTGGGTAGCAGCAGCAATGGGACTTACATAAAGTCATAAATGTACATAAACACGGTCTGAAACTGATAGTGGACGCTGTCCATTGTGCGACAATGTCGGGGCCCAACTGAGCCGATATCGGCTTTCAGAAGCTGGAAATCCGGAAGAATTTCATATTCGATTTAACTGCAAATAAACCACTTTGCCAAGTCTTTTGATCCGCGCTGAGAGCGCTCGCGTTTGATAACAGGGAGGAAAATGGGCTTAATGAACTATACAGAACATAGACAGACGGTGTTCTCGCAAATCGAGCACAAACTGACAACATTGGTAAAGTGCCTTTCGGTTTGTTTTGCATCTCAGGGGGATTCGAAATTGTGAGCAAAAACCAAAAACTAACCGATGTGTGAGCAGATCGTCCATGCTGTCGCTGTTGCACTTGCACTTGCATAAACCATGGAAAAACCGTCGACATTTGCCCATGATTGGCCAAAAATTAGACAACAAAGTCGCATCGAGTGTTGCGTGATTGAAAGGCAACTGAAGGTATTTGCGAGAAACGTAAAAAGATAAGATAGCATGTAATTGCTTTAATTCTAAAGCCTGGGCTTTAAAAGAATTCAGCTCTGCTGGGAAAGATGGAGCGACAAATTGCAGTTGAAAACATCCTCTTGAAAAATGTAATTAAAAAATAACTGTCCACTCACCCACTAAAGCCGCGCCTTTTGTTGACTGGCGACGATGTGTTCACTGCAGCCGCATCGTTTTGCGTAGTTTCTGCAACAATAAAACTAACATTAGCGAAAGACAGGCGACTTTCGAAAGCACGGCCTTCACCCACATTAACCAAATGGTCATACAGGTACTTAAAATGGATAGAAACAAGCGGGAACAATTGCCAAATAGTGCTTATCGCCAAGCCAACCTCAATGCTCTTATCAGAACATAATCGATTGGCTTGAGTGCGAAGGACAGCTTGAACAGCAGCAATCAATCACAACTAGTCAACTACTACTGACCCTGTATGTCGCGTTCTAATGGACTTAGCTATTATTAAAAGGCAGTCCAGACACAGCGTCTAATCGAACGACTTGTCTGGATCGCCCTTTAAAGTCAGAACATCGATGGGATTTCATTGGCAGCCACCATCGATGTTCGGACTTGAGCGACTGAACCACAAAAAAGTTATATAAATGTTTACATTTAATGTAGGTTTTGCGGTTCACAAGCTCCGTTTACCAACATATAGCACAACTTGTCTACATCGATGACAACGTTTCGCCTGTATCTGCGGCAGGTGCACTCAAACGCTCAAATAGCTTTCAAAGATCGGTTTGCTTAGTGTGTGAAAAAGTTGTCACTGATTTGTAAGCGGATGTGGTTCTGTGCCTCTTTGAACAAACCAAAACTGCTGTTTCCGCTTCAAACAAAACGCTATTTCCAATTTTCACTTTTGCTAAACTAAACCGCAAATCCATGACTAATTGATATGGAGCGTGTGAATCAATTGCACCGAATTAAAGCTCGTTTCTACCATTAGTAGACACATCATTATGTAAATACTTATATTTCAAGTTTTCGCCAAAAGTTAAGCCATTTCTAGGAAATGTTCTTAACTTATGACAACAGTGCCTGGCGCTCAATGAAACCGCTAAGCATGCCGAAGTTAAAAAACCTTGACAGTTGGAAACGCAGCTGCTTCTGTTTAAACTATCAGTGTTTTCTATTTTCAAACATTATCGCGTCGGAGAAGAACAAGTGGTTTTTAATGCCTCCATTTTGTTTATGTTGTAAACGATTAAATCAGCAATAGAAAATAATCAAAATCTCCAAACGCACCCATTCAGGATCTGATATAATTTTGTGTTGTTTCATTGGTTGACTTTTGTAGCTGAAAATTCCATTCAGAAATCCCCCAAATTGAACGAAATAAACGTTGCAGCATGCTCAACTATCAAAGTAATCGTTTGAATCGGTCACTCTTAATAGACCGATTTGCCATGTGCTTAATTTCTACTTAAGGGCAAAGTGCCGCGTTCAAAACTGTCACCCGAAAATAGTTAGCTCAGATAAATGGGAACGATTTCACTGAAAATTGGGTACCTTCGGAGAAATAGAACTGCACAACTCGATCGCACAATTCACCCACTCGCCGGAAGCTCGACTTGCGCTTAAAAGACGTGCCCGTTTCGGACGCTTGCTGATTGACCACCTTCAGGTTCAGATCCATGCAAAGGCCGCACTCAAACGCGCTTTTCTGCACTGAACAGTCAATTCGGTGTTTGCGACCAAGCGACAGGCCTCCCAAAGGTCCAGATTTAAGTCGCGCGACTTACAACACTATTGCACTTTTTCGCTCAACTCAATTCCCTTCTCAGCACTGAAACCGCGACTGATTGTCGCATCTGTTGACTGTTGTGAACAACACTCTCGATCGTGATTCATTTAAGAGTCCCCACACCTGACCTCCCACACTTTTCCGCGATCCAGAGCGAGACAACCAAGAGGCATTGGACTATTCACGCGTAGATGAGCAAGCATTGAGGTGGTGGTGGTGAGAGGACGATTTTGCACCAATCGCGGCCATGGCTGGAGGGTTTAAAGGAGGTTTGGTTGCAAAAGATTGGCAGCCTTAAGCAGGCTTACCTAGCCAGGTGTAAAAAGTTCCGCCTAGAAACCTGTCGGGGAAACCCTTCTTGGAAGCGATGGGTGTGCCCTGTTTCTTTGAGGAACTCTTTTTTGTTCCGCCCTGTAGGCACATTAAAGCGCACTAAACTCTACATAAACAAATTCGCTGTGAATGACGAACGAAAATCGCTAGATCGAATATTTTGCTAAAGAATGGAACATCTGCTGGCCGAGTGAACGGATAGGTATGCCTTAAAAGGACAAGATCATGATTTCTATTTAAGTATTTTTTACGTTCCCTGCGCTCTTATAGATGGATTAGTCGCTGGCTGCGCCCTTTCCATTAAATCGAGGCATTCGGCATTGATTGGCCCGATATTAATTGATGATAATCGTTAAATTCGAAACAGAAATAAACAAGGTAGATGATGGACCATAAAATCCCATGGCGCGGGTCAAGGCGGCGCTTTTGGCGCCCCGACAAATATTCAACAGCGCCGCAGTCCCTGAAACCGTATATTAATAAAACAATTCACAAATCCAGAATTAAAATCGTTCCTTTTGCGAAACGGTGTCGATTTATGATTGAGTAATTAATCAAGCGATTTGCGTCCCATGAGACAATGGAGCGTAACTACTACCTTAATGGGGGCCAAAAGGAAGTTGCCATTTGTGACGGATTTCGTACATCCTGAAAGCCAGTTTCAATAATGCGCCTTCGATTTGCAACAAGAATTTATCGAGTCTAAAACCCAAACGACCGAAGAAACTTCAACAATGTCAAAGAATTTCACACAAACATCGCCTACTTACAGTGGCCACTTTTACAAACACGTAAAAAAAAACGATTTTTTTCGTGGCACTGTCGACGACACGACCGACGCGCATTTAAAAAACAACTGAAGCGACGACGGCAATCAACAACAAACATGTCGCCCGCGAACTGCACAAATCGGTGCCAACTGACGGTGTCGCCTGAATTAATTTGACGCAACGATTGGACGATTCTCTATCGGAAAAATCAAATAAAAATCCGAAAATTGCACAACTTTTGCTACACCCCCTGTATGGAACGCTGGCGGGTTGCCGTGGAAACGGGCTTGACCCTACGAGGTTTCGTTACGAAGTTGTCGGATGGCACTCAGAACCCACGGTTCTCCGTAGTTGATTTAAGCCAGTTATTCGATTTCAAATTCCAGAGAATGTTATCAGATAACGATGACATTATTTCGTGTTGATGGCCAAACAAATATTGATTTTTTAGTTGCAAATCACGGTTTTGCCGATGCAAATGATATAGAAATTGAGGCATTTAGAGCCACTTCAGTGTTTTGCAACGTTAATTTGGAGTGAATTCGCTGACAGGGTATGTTGAAAGATCGCAATTGATCGAGCTGCTGATGCTGACTGTCGTTCAAGCAATGACTTATGAAGATGGAGCCTGGCACCGCAGGCGAAACGTCTAATCTAATTCCGAATGCAATGCGATTTAAATTAAAAAAATAATAAAATAAAAGCTGACTGACGTAAGTCAGGGAGTGCGTCGATTCGAACCCGTACTTTCTAATATTAGCGCGACACACTTGGCTGTATCCAAGATCCCTCAATGAATTAGATGACACTTTGCCGGCTTATTTATTTGATAATTTGGAATCAGGCCAATGTTTCGCTTTATTGGTGTTTATCCCTAAAAATAGACACCCTGTGTATAGGGCGGAGGCGAAAACGCGTCAAAAATAGACTCATCGGCCAATCGGCGCTTTCCCGGAAATATATCCGGCAATTTTTCGAGAAAATTGTTTGTTGGCCGCCCACATTCGCTACAAACACGCCGATTATTATCGATAATTGATCCTTTCGGTATTCGATCAATCGCAGTTACGCAGGGCGACCGAACTTGGACTCGACCTACACAGAGGCTGAATTCATGCCTATCGTGGTAATAGCGAACTCACCTTCTTCGTGGCTCTTCATCAGAAAGCACTTGAACATTATCCGCTGGACACTAATTACTAAAATTCCATCATCACGTGCAAAAAACGCTCCGGAGGTGTTCAAGTTTCAGCCAAACTCGACTTGTCGCCTAAATTTCCAGCTTTTTGATACTCTTTATCTAATCGTGACGGTACAAGTAGATTCGCAACGATATTTTTAAGATAAGTAATGTTTATCTAAGCCGACACCGTGCTGCATCAAATCATAGAGGTTTAATTGTGGAAAACCTCCCGTTTTGGAGCCCCGATCCACTCATTCAAAGGCTCCAGTAATTTACAGCACGAAAAGGAACCCAAACATCGAGTGCATTGAGAAAGGGTCAGGTCAAGGGTACGCCAGAGACGCCTATCGATTCGGGCGTCGGGATGCTGCTGATGAGACGCCGCAATCTCGAGAAGCGTCGCCGGCCCCCCAATTATTCCACGTTAAAAAGTGCGGCACTCACCCGACACATCGTGGTCCGAAGCTTGCGGGGGTCGGCGGGACGGCGAACCTCGCTGCTGCGGGGGTTGTTTGAGCACCCCCAGGGGCACGAGCCCCTCTG